AACCTGGTATTTTACTTTCAGCTACCCTTTTCTTTCTATAAGGAATATGTTTACCTTGAATATTTAAATATTCAAATTTAAAAAATTTTCCACATCTGATCAGTGTCTCCAAATAATTCAGCTGCCCAATTCACAACAGATAATTCTTGTCACATCTCTTCAAAATTTTCTTTTTTGAAATTTGTAACCAAAATATCATTATAACTTATCTCCATATGCAGGAAAACATTGAACCCAATAGAGCAGTGATCACTTGCACCCTGATGTTCTCCAATTTCTTTATTTGAAATTGACAATAAATCTAAAATAACATTGTTTCTAGTAGGTTCCTTGACTAATTGGTGAATAAAGCCATCCTGAACAGTTTCCACAAACCTTTCTCCCTCGTGGTTTGACTCTAGCATTTCCAAATCTATATGCCTAAAATTAAAATCACCCATAATTATGAATTCATTATCAGCTGAAATCTTAATCTCATTGTAAAGTTTCTTACTAATTACATCAGTATCATTTGGTGGTCTGTAACAAGTTCCCACTAAAAGCTGTTTCCCTTTATATCCACTAGTAAAACCCAAATGGATTCAATCTCCTTGTTGTTATCTTTGATATCCTCAACTTCAACAGGATGTAACTCACATTTAATGTATAAAGCCACTACTATCTCCCTCTTTAATACTCTATCCCTATTAAATAGCCTGTAACCCTGTATTCCAAAGAAACTTCTGTCATCAAAATCATCTATGTTTAACCATGATTCAGTTATTGTCATTATATCACAATATTCCATTCCTACCAGTACTTTTAAGTCATATATTTTATTTCTTATACTTCTAGCATTACAATAGTAAAAATTAAGCCTATCCGTATAACTGCTTCTATACTCATTTCCTATGCTAAACTTTTCTCTGCCTCTTATTCTTTTTCATTTAGTTTCTCCTGGCCCTCACCACTGTCTAGTCCTAGTTTAAAACTTCCCTTACAGTTGAGTTAATAGACTTAGCAAGCAAGCCAGTCCCTACCATATTTAAATGTAAACCATCCATTCCAAAAAGCTCCCTTCTTCCACTGAACTTATCCCACAAGTCCAACCAGCCTGCTCATCCTTACATACTAACCTAAGCCTATCACTTAGACCTAGTGACCTACTTAACTTCATCCCCACAGTTAATTCTGGGCAGTATCCCTGACAAAATTAAGTTATGGCCTCTTTCTTTAAATGCCTTTTTCAACTCCTTGTACTTATTAATAAGCTCCTCTGATCTACCTTTCCCTACATCATTAGCCTCTACATGTACCACAAAAACTGCATCTCTGATAGCCCCCTTTATTATATCTC